AAAAAAAAAAAAAAAAAAAAAAAAAAAAAAAAAAAAAAATCTTGACAGTTTTGAAAACTGCTCAGCAGGTGTATGAATGGTATCCAAGAAAATGTAGATCCTTGACCATTTTTAAGATGGCAACACCCCTTCTAAAAACAGAACTGCTGAGGTCATCAGCGAAACCACACACAGCCACCTTGTGCCCCCAAATCTGGAGAAAAGCGCAGTGCTCAAATGAGTAAAGATCTACTCTTCCAATGTTTATTTTGGTTATTTTTTTTAATCCTTACCTAGAAGCAAATCAACTAACAGGACAAATGGAAAAATGGCTAGTATCATTAGCCTCAAGCCCCTTCCCGTTCACTTAGAGGTGCTACTAAGTGGGATGACTAACATCTCTAGGCAATCCTGTGATGTGTGGAAACCTACCCCATTGACTTAGGCCAGGGCGACACCCTTTGAATCAACCCGGGTTTCCCCAAACCTAGTCACACCATAGTTAGGAAACAGTTTCTGGATCAAGCGGAGGTGCGGGGGTGGTAGATCCCTTTCCAGCCCCACCCTGAAAGTTGCTAGGAGTGACACCTAAGGAACTTTCCCAGTTAGATCCAAGTCACCGCTCCGGGAGGTCTGCGCCGGGCGCTCAACCTCTGCGAACCCAGCCAATCTGCCCGCTGTGCCAAGCCCCTCCTTCCCTGCATCTTTAAGGGCCGGGAGAGGGGAGGGTCCACTGGGATTTTTCTTCTTAAGAAGTCGCACCGGTTTTTCGAGCTCCGCTCTGCGCCMGGAGAGCCACCGCAGCGGGAGCGGGCGCTGCCGCCACCGAGCCGGAGGGTGAGTCAGTGTTTGGAAATGGAGTGGGCGGGCGAGGGTGTGCGAGAATGAATGATGTCAGGAGCGCGCAGGGCGCGGGCCGCGCGCGGCGGGCGGGGAGAGCGGGCCGCGGGGCCGCGGTAAACACCGAGCGCTGCGCCGCGCCGCGCCGCGCCACGGGCTGAACCCGGCGGGGAGACCCCGCCCTCGGAGCGCGCGGAGCCGCCCTCGGCCGCCCGGAGCCCGGCCAGTGGTGCAGCGCCGCCGAGTGCGGCCTCGCGGGTGGCGACCGCGGGAGGAACCGGGAGAGCTCTTTCCCCTGGCGGAGCCGCGGTGCGTGAGGACTAGACCCCGAGCAAACTTTCTGGAGGCTTAGGCCTCGGGGTGGCGGTGCTCGGGACTGGCCGCAGCGGCTGCAGCAGCGGGCTGGGTCCCCTGACAGATCCTCCTCCCGGGAGCAAGTGCCTACAGCCTGGAGTGTCGCGAGCTCCACGGCGAGCGGGTAAGGAGCGCCCGGAGGGGCCGCGGGGAGGATGGGCTGCGGGGCTGCGGGGCTGCGGGGCTGCGCGTCCTGCTAAGCGCGTGGGGAAGGGCGGGGGGGTGGATCTCCAGCCTTAGATGGGGCTCTAATATTCGGCCCCCACCTGCCCCGCCCCAGGGCATCCTTCCTCGGGTTTTCATCGGCCTGAGGAAGGCTGTGTGACTCAGTCTCCTTGCTCTGATATTTCAGCTCATTCATTTGCAGCCCATTTCGGGTAACCAGCTGCTGGCGTTGGAAACACACAGGTTAAACCATAGCTTGTCCAGGGCCACTCCAGAGGTCAGGGCTGAAGTTCGGGTGGTGGAGGAGGGACTTTTTTTTTTTTTTTTTCTTCCATCTCGAGAGACATTTACTGATGATGTGTGAACGAACACAGCTCTGGGCTGCGAACGCAGAAACCTTTCAACGTTTGGCCATCAGATCTGCACCCCTTGAAGTGAGACTTGGTCTCTTAGGATAGATAGGTGGGACTGGATCCCTAGTCACCATCTGTGGGTACAGATAGCCGGTGAATAGAAACCAACTCAGATTTTGTAATCCTTTATTTTTATTTRGTGCCATTCCTCTCATTTAAGTCTTGCCTCCTCAAAAATGACCTTTAAACCATTTTGACTAAATTTTGAAGAGAATCAGCTGTTTAGTATCATTAGGGCTTGGACGTGGATTTTGAATTGTCCTTAACTTTTCAATTCCGTGGCTTCACTCCTGGTCTCGTCTGTTACCAGTGGGTTCTCAGGTATATGAAGCTCTCTAAACGAGTAAAACGGGATTATAACTACTTCGGATGATTGTGAGGATTCAATCAGGATTAATAATGAGAACAACAATGATGATCAAAGCACATGAGACTTAATCATAATGGCTGGTACAAAGCAGATTCCAACAAACTGTAACTGTTTATATATAAATAAGACCACATTCCAGCTGGTTTAGGTAATGATCAATTAATTTCCACAGATTTTTACACATATATGTAAACCTGGGGGGCTGAGGTTTAGCATGTGAAATCCATTGGCAAGTTCCTTGACGTGGAAAGAGGAAAGTGATATTTTCAGGAAGTCAAACGTTTCAGTGTGGATACCTGAGAAGGTTTTGATTCCCACCTGTGTCATAGGAACTGCCACTCACTGTTTAAACCACATACGTCATGGCAGTGACTGAAAGTGACAAGCCTACAGGAAGAAGGGGTGTGTGGAAAGCTCTACTTTACCCCTTCCCACCCCACACACCTTTTTTTTTTTTTTTTAAAGAAGCAGAGTAAAATTTCCTTTTTACAAACCTTTCCTGGGTCTGCTGCTGATAGTCTTCTGGGTGAGGTCGTTTCTTTTACTGGTTAATATTTAATTTGGTTTCTTTAGTTTCATTTTTAAGTAAAGCTGGTTGAGTTATGACCTGGAGGGAGCCATTTGGAGACCCTTAGGTTGCTGCTCCTGGGAGGTGCTCTGTTTCACTTTTCCCAGATCCTGGGAAAAGCCCCAGGAAATATTTAGAAGAATCTGAAGCTTTTGCTCAGATCTTAGTGAAAGCATTTATTCTTATTCTATGACAACAACTTTGATGGTATAGAGAGATCATGGACTTGGGAATCGACCAGACCCAAGACTATTTAGGTAGTCATTTATTAACTGCTATTTTAAGGAAGTTACTCAAATTCTCTTGGGTGTTTATGGAACTTTAAATGAAATATAAGGAAAAAATAGAAATAATCTTATGTATATTAAAATAGTGAAGTACAAATGAGAACTTTTTTAAAGTGATACTTTGAGGTAAGATATTTATTATTATTATTACTTATGGGAATTGAACCCAGGGACACTCTACCAATGAGCTACACCTCCCAGTCCCTTTTATTTTGAGACAGGAATTCAGTAAATTGCTGAGGCAGGCCTCAAACTTTTGATMCTCCTCCCAGGTTGCTGAGATTACAGGCATGCACCACCACAACCAGCAAGATATTTCTTTTTTCTAAATAAAATAAAATAAAAATTACTAAGAATTTTGGAGTTTCAGACTAAATTTCAGACTTTAAGGCTTACTGATCTTTTTTTTATTCACCTATGGTAGAATTGAAGCCTGAATTACTACTATGAGATATTTATTCAAGTCATTTATTTGCTGAACACTTAGTAAGCAACTACTATATGCCAGCCATTTTGCCAGATGCTACTGATGCTAAGAGGAAGGAATCCCTGTTACTGTCCTTTAAACCTGTGGTCCAGTAGAGAGAAACCCCAGACTTTAATTATGAAGAGGGAAAAGGAGTCAAAGAGGAGAGGATTAGGGAATTAGAAGGAAATAAGTGATTAGACTGTAGTAGGCTGCCTCTCACTGATAAGGAGAAATCCAGTGGCTTTCTGAAGGTTCTGGAATTGAGGCTCATAAATCCTTATGAGGCTGAATAATGCAGGTCTGTCTAGCTTTACCATTTAAAAAAACATTAAAGACAAATTACCTCTTAAGTTTAAACCATTTTAAATGGTCCAGAGCAAGTTGTTTAAATGAAATCTGAAGGCTCAGTTTAGCTCTATCAAGACTTGTTTACCGTGAATAAAACACTATGGTAGATCTTTAAGAGGATTACCACTGTGTGCAAATATCCCCATTTATTAGTTTTCCTCATATTATAAGCAATGTGTTACTATGGAAATTTTAACCACCCAGAAAACCACTTTACGTTATTTATTCTCACTGTTTTCCACTCACGCACACACAACATAAAGAGGTAACATATACTGAGTTTACTTTGGGCCAAACGTGTCCCCTGTATTCATGTAACTATAGCATCTCATAATCCCCACTCCAACATTTAGAGATAGGTACTCTTATTACCCCCTTTTTATGAGGGAGAAACTGATTTATGGAAATTCAGTAACTTTTGTGAAGTCTCACAATTAGGAAGTTGTGTTCTGCAAAACTGGGTTTGTTCTTTATGTTTTACTTTCTGCCCCCCCCCCATATGGACACCACTTAGTCTCTAAAATACTCTTCTATAGCATCGTTTTTATCGTTTTTTCTTTTCTACTACATGGCTGCATGCATCTCAACTAATCCCCTATCGTTGGACACTTAGTTTGTTTCCAGTTGTCATTATTTTAAGCAGCTCTGCTTTAAATATCTTCCTAGCTTTATCTGGAGATCCATGAGTATTTCATTTTTAAAAAAGAATTTTTTCTTCTATAATTTACTTCACTTTTTAAAAAGTGAAATACATTTAATTTGGTTACCTTTTCTTTTTTCACCTCACAGTACTGGGGATTGAACTCAGGAGTGCTCTACCTCTAAGTTATATCCCAGATCTTTATTTTATTTTAAGACAGGGTCTCATTAAGCTTCCTGGGTGGGACATCAACTTGCAATCCTCCTATCTCAGCCTCCCAAGTAGATGGGATTACAGATGTGGGCCAATGAACCAGGTAATTTAGCTGCCTTTTAAAGAACCATGTTCAGAAATACAGAATCTTYTCTCCCCCTGCTTTTATGTATTTTATTATTATTATTATTTTAAAATATGTTCCTGGGGATCAAATCCAGGATCTTGCATATGCTAAACACACACTTTATCTCTGAAGTATATTCCCAGTCCAGGTACCAAGGATTGAATGACAGGGCACTTAACCATAAGCCACACTCCCAGACCTTTTTATGTCTTCTTATTATTTTTTAGTATTTTAGCTATCAATGGATCTTTATTTCATTTATTGATATGTGGTGCTGAGAATCGAACCCAGTGCCTCACACATGCTAGGCAAGCGCTCTGTCACTGAGCCACAACCCCAGCCCTTTATGTTTTGAGACAGGGTCTCCCTAAATTGCTGAGGCTGGCTTTGAACTTGCAATCTCCTGCCTCAGCCTCCTGAGCTATTGGGATTATCCCTGTGTGCCAACATACCCAACCTCCTTTCTTTTTAACTTAAAAGAATTTTAACTTCTGTTTTTCTTTAGTGAGTCTCATAAGATTTCAGCAAGAGGATCAACCTYTGTGGAGCTGCACAGCGGGGTAGTAGCTTGTTATTCAAGGGATTATCTGATGAAAAGGGAACATAGGAGCTCTCTTAAAGTACTGTTTGTGCTTTTGTTATTGGCCTGTGGAGCTAAACTTATTTTTTGAGGTATTATAACACAGTGGAGCAGGGCTAATTTTGCCAGGCAGCTCTTACAAAGAAATTTTACTTCCTTATTACCAGTGAAGTAAAGTATTTCCAGACATTTCATTTAGTAGATTTATCACTAGGTTTAGAATAAGTTGCATCAATATCAAATAAATAGGTCACCTTGAGTCAAAATTTTAATTTTGCCTTGGGTTTATAGTCCCATTTCTAATGCTAGTTAATTTTTTCTTATAATTTTCATAAAGCATGCTTTCATATAAGCAGTGTCACAATTCATCCAGACACTCAGATCAGTTCAATGACTTTGTGATCCAAAGTAACATTTAAAGAAACAGCTAATAAAATTAAGTGTCAAGGGGATCATAGGTTACTTGCTAATTGGTTTGCCCTATTGCCCAACCTTTATATCATTTGGTGTTTTGCTTATAACAACTTGAAATGCAGTCTTATAATTTTCTGTTTTCATTTAAATTGATATAAAGTATGACTTAAAAATTTCAAACCAAACTCAAGTGTTCTTTTGTTTCTTTTTCAAGAAGCATTAATTAGCTGAGCATGATGGCAAACACTTTTAATCCCAGTAATTTGGGAGGCTGAGGCAGGAGGATTCCAAGTGCAAAGCTAGCTTCATCACCTTAGCAAGACCCTGTCTCAAAATTAAAAAAAAAAAAAATTACGGTGTATGTGGGGGTACTAGGGGTATAGCTTGTAGATGAGGGATAAAGCACTGCTGGGTTCCACACTCAGTAACTGCCCCCTCCCCCAAAGCATGGACTCACTAACTGGATTCTTGTATGTATACAATGTTTTTTTAAAAAAGTGAGTCACAGACTAAAATCATTTAAAAGGGAAATGAAAGGCAGGCTCCTTCAGGGCAAGTGGAGAGACTTTTCAGGGTCCTTCAGGTAAGTGCCATTTCCCAGCTGGTGGGCTGTGTTGAAGTTCATGTCTCTGGGTTCCTTTCACCTGTGGATAAAGCACCTGATGTCAGGGCTAGCCTCAGGCAGTAGTGGAAAGGAGTTTAAATACCTGCCCTGAGGGTGTCCAGCTCCAAGGTTACCTGGCCGTACTTGCCTAGGCCCAGAAGGTATTCAGTGAGTATTTGAACAAAGGTGGTTGCTATCCAATTGAATCCCTGGAACCAGAGACATCATGCCCATGGAAAATTGGGATGAGTGCCTACCACAAGAATTTAATCACCTCTTTTCATTAAGATGATTGGAAATTCAAGATATGTAGGAATTAAACTTAAAAAAAGTTTTTCCACCCGTTAGAAGGGACTAATGGGAGGGAGAGCCCTGGAGGTGGGAAGGCAGCTACAGACAGAAAGAAGGGAATATACCAGAGGGTGGTGGTGCCTCCCCCCAATGGAACTGTGGTCCTGGCTGTCTTGTGATCCTGGAGGGCCCAGTTGGGTGGTGGAAGGTGGGTGAGTATACTGCAATGTCACTTCTTCACGCCACCCCACCGAGGTGGCATAAGGATTCTTTTCGTCCCCTGGGGATATTTTTAGTTTAGGTAGTCTGATCGAACATCTTGAGATAATATGAAAGAGTGCGGTTTTATTTAGGGGGAGGGAAAAGGGTCAAAAACCAAGTAAGTGGTTTTAGATCACAGGCCACTTAACCCACTGAGGTTCTTCCGAGAAAGACCTTTATGTTGTAGCCCATCCCCACAGAGAAGTGCAGACCTTCAGGAAGACTGTCAGCATTGGCTGATGCAGAGTTCAGCCTTGGAAATGCAGGTCAAACAGCGGAGTTGGCTTCTTGAGTTCCACCATACACAGAATATAAAGGTAGTGGGTAAAATAGTGGTGGTTATATAATGGTAGATCCCATGAGATAGGCACTCCTGTGGATTAGGTGAAACACTGTCTTTGTTTCCAGATAGACCTGCAAAATAGAAATTGTCTCTGCTGTGGAAGTTTAGAAACAATGTAGAAAGGGTGTGCACCCAAGGCTGTAGAGATGGTGGGAAGTAAACAGGGATTCAAAAGTGAGCCCAGCTCTTTGGGATGCCTATGCCCTTCCCAGCATCCTTCCTGGCTGTCTGACATCTCTTTGGAGATATCAGGTTTGGAGGCCTCTATTTTGATAAAGAATTTGATGTCGGTAATTTTTAGTTCTTTGGCCTTTAAGTCATGAAGGAATACATAAGGAGAACTGACAGGTTTTGTGTGGCAGTCTAGGTTTATGATCATCACTAGGTTTATCACTAGGTTCATTTACCTCTTAGGGTGACCATACGAATTGATGTGACTTGGTGGGTATAAAACTTTGAGAGTAATACCTGGCTCAAAGTAAATGTTCAGTGGCTCAGGGTTTTTTGTTTGTTTGTTTTTGTTTGTTTGTTTGTTTTTGCAGTATTGGGGATTGAACCAAGGGGTGCTCGATCACTGAGCAAAATTGTTTATTTTGAGACAGGGGCTTGCTGAGTTGCCCAGTTGGCCTCCAAATTGTGATCCTCCTGCCTCAGCTTCCCAAGTGGCTGGGATTACAGGTTATGCACCACCATACCTGGGCAAAATCAGATGTTTCTCATTAAGGTAACTTGTTTTTTCTGTAATAAATATCCATGTGTTATATCTTGCCTGCGCCGACAGGGTCTGGATCCTATCCCCCCACCAACCCCTTCCCCTTTCCTTTGGGGTTAAAATAAAATGATTAAAGTGAGTTGTACACTGCCATTATATTTTGAGAATGTTCATAAGAAGTATGTAGCATCAGCTGCGAATGCTGAGAAGCTTTGGAAGTGCAGTTATAATATGCCTGCCCTCCTCTCAGCAGATGCCAGGAGGGCTAGTCTAGCACAACTGGTACTGTCCCTTACAGAGTGTTGTACCATGGACACCACTGTCCCAGAAAATGCCGGGGCCATTAAGCATCACAAACCCTACTGTCCTCGCCAGTGCTGTGCGTCTTTCTTTAGGAGGCCCTGAGACGGTTATTTAACACAGCTGCTACTGTCTTCTGGGATTCGCCTCTGCTCAGTGAGTTGTTCGACCAAGTCATTACTACCCCAGTAGTTGCTACCAAACTTCAATAGCAGTAGAGGGCTTTTGTTTTTGTTAAATTAGTATTTTAGAGCACTTCTGGAAGAACATCATTGCACATATTAACCTGTATATAAAATAGGTCCTCTCTGATGGATTAGTTAGGGCTGAGAAGTATGCTCCCTTGGAATAGTTTGTCCCTGCAAGTTATAAGCAGCCAGCAGGGACATTTAAAATTTTTACTCAACAAATACTTTAAGTGCTCATAAGGTGCTAGGGTTTGTCCCGAGTACTTAGAACTCGTCCTCATTTACTCTTAAAACATGAGGGCAGATATGTTCATCCCTGTTTGAAGGATCCCCATTTGAGACAAGAGAGTGGCTAAATCACTTGCTAAAAATCACACAGTACACAATAGAATTAGGTCTTGAGAGCAGGCAGTTGGGGCCGTGGAGTGTAGCTTAGTAGCTGAGTGCTTACTTAGCAACCCCAAGGCCCTGGGTTCAAGCCCCAGCATCACAAAAGAGAGAGAGTGTAATGGGTCCTTTGTAAGGATTACTACATGTGGGAAGAGCCTCCATCAACTTCAACACCCTCTTGCTTGGCAGCACAATTAGCATTCATGTCTGTTATCCAAAGTCATGGCTGCTTGGTAATAGATACAAATTACCAAGCAAGAAAGCAGGCAGTTGGCCAGTGATGTCTAACCTCTGCCTGATGTAGATCTAACAAGTGTCTCAGTTTGGGCCCCACTTGTGCATGCAGTTTGTTTTTGTTTTCGGTACTAGGGATTGAACTCAACACTGAGCCCAATTTTGTATTTTATTTAGAGACAGAGTCTCACTGAGTTGCTTAGCGCCTCACTTTTTGCTGAGGCTGGCTTTAAACTCATAATCCTCCTGCCTCAGCCTCCCAAGCCGCTGGAATTACAGGCACGTGCCACTGTGCCTGGCGCCCATGCAGTTTTATCAAAGGAAAAAATCACACTTGTCCAAACTTGCTGTCAATTCCTTACCATTTACCACATGGGGAGGACTACATCTTGATCATATATTGGAATGTTGTGTTCAAGTGGGTTGTACGCTGCCATTGGATACGAGAATTCAGTAAAAGACTTGGGGGCTTCGTTTCCAGAGTGGTATTGCCAAACATTTCTCTCTCAAAGCTTCTGAGCATTTGGTCAGCCCTGGTGCGAATCCAGGAAGGGAGCAGTGCCCTCTCCCATGTCCAGGATGGGCACGCTCAGCTGAGCAAGAAAAGCAGAAGTCTCAGACCTGCTATTTGACAGAATTTATGTTTTGCTTTTTAGCTTTAGAATTTTTAATTTTTAAAGTAGTTTAAAATCCTTATCAGAAGAAAGGAACTTGTCCACATGAGGTTTCTTTCACTGTTTTCTAACTACTGGTGGGGTGCGGGGTGGGTAGTGGGCAGAACAGTGGCTCACCAGCAACGCTCACATGCTAATCTCAGAACCTGGGACTCTGTCATGTTACATCACAACGAGAAATTGAGATTATCCTAGGTCATTGTTGAGATGGGCAAAAGTACAACATATGTAGTCAAGGGGAAGATAAAGAATGCCCACACACTTCTGCCCTTTTCAATGCTTTATTCACTCAAATCACTCAATACAATTTCACTCTATAGGTTCTTAATCAAGGAATGATAATCCTTAATGCTGGGCACTGCAACAGACATGATCAATTCAAAGCAAACAATTCTAAATTAATTCTAAGCATTGCAAACACGCTTAATCATGACAGACTTATTACAGATATTCCCTCTGCATGCTAAGCTGAAGTGCTAGTTTTAAACTCTTAGGTCTTAAGTCCAGCAGATGTACACTCAGCCTGCAGCGACCAGGTCAGGAACTGATAGAGGCTTCTCCTGGGGTGGAGTTGATGGCCGGATGAGGAGACGGTTGTAAGGAGAAGTCCTTTTCTCACCAGAGTCAAGAGGATGCTGTAAAGTTTGAGAGCCGTGAGGACAACACAGAGGTTCAGGCAGATGAGAAGGGTTGGGATGTCAGTCCAGGTCCTCATCAGGCTCTCAGGCTTTTGTGCCTCAATGTCGGCTGGCTGAATGTCTGTTCATTTGCTCTATCGTTTATGCTAAATTTTGGGGCTTCTGTCCGCCCTTTCAGTCCCTATCAGCTGTTACCAGGTTTCTGAGGGATGTCTGTCGTCCTGAAGTCAGGATATCTGGTCTGGTGGTTTCTGCCTGATCTCTCCCCTCTGCATTTATCAGGGTGAAGGCAAATGACAGAGACTTCCCTCGAGTTTTATCAGGGTTGTGGAGAGTGACTTATTCTATCAGGCTATGCCTGATGACCATGTTGGAAGGCTCCATAGGCGTGCCTGGTGGGGACTGTGGTTTTATTTTAAAATGGAGTTACTTAGGCTAAGGCCCTTCTTAGGGCCATCCTTACAGTCATCTGGGTGGGCCCAGTGTAATCACAACGTAAGTGAAAAAAGGGAAGCAGGTTAGGACACGAGAACTGGCATCCTTAGAAAAACTCCAGTGTCCATTGTTGGCTTTGAAAGAGGAAGGCGAGCCAAGGGCAGTGGCACATGCCTGTACTCCCAGCAACTTGGGAGGATGGGACAGGAGGATTGACAGTTTGAGGCCAGCCTCAGCAACTTAGTGAGGCCCTGTCTCAAGGGGAAAAAAAAAAAAAAAGCTAACGTATTGCTCAGTGATAGAGAACCCCTGGGTTCAATACCCAGTTTAAAAAAAAAAGAGAGAGAGAGAGACAAATGAACTTTACTTTTTAAGAAACATAGGTGGAAAATTAGTTGCGTGATTTTGGAAACTCAAAAACTGTAGAGAGATTATTTTCATATTTACAGTTCTTTTAAATGTATTCTTTGTAGATTTTGAGTTACTTTGTTAGACTAGGGGATACACATGTGTGTATGTGTGCATGCGTGCCTGTGTATAGAAGATGGATTGATTATTTCCTCTTATCAAAAGGTTTGGAAAAAACCTGATATAAGTGAAGTCTTGCTGTGTGTTCTAAAATGCTTTTGGAAAAGGTCCTCAGTTCTCTGATATACAAATGTCCTGTGCTCTTGTTAAAGGTACAATGCTCTGTAGGACTGACTCATTTACATGCATTTTATCTTAATTAAGCAACTCCTAGTTAATAATTTGCACTTTCCTTCTAGTTCCTGTATTACCATAGCAAAATATCCAAGATTGTCCATTTATAAAGAGAAAAGGTTTGTTTTGGTTCACAGTTCCAGAGGTTTCATTTCTAATTGGTTGGCCCTATTGCTTTGTGCCTATGACCCACATCATGGTACAAGCATTTGGTGGAATAATAGTACTCACCTCATGGCCAGGATGCAATGGAGAGGAGGGGGTCCAGGGTCTCATAGTCCCCCTTAAGGGAAAGACTCCAATGACCTAAGGACTTCCCACTAAATCCTATGAGCAAAGCTCCTACCACCTCCTAGTGGCACCACTCTGGGACCAAGTCTTTAATACTGAGTGTTTGGGGGAAATGTAACATCTAAACCATAGCATCTTTGTAGCAGAATAAGGATGCCTTCACTATGTAAGTGGCCAAGTAATTAACCTTCACTGAGACCAGAAGGGTATCTGTTCTGTCTCCCATCATTGAGAAATTAATCGATGATGTTCTCTGTTGGATCTTTTGTTAATGTGAACCAGAGCTCCAGAGCTTATTTCTCCTGGGTGAACTAATGAAATACTTTCTGGACTTGCAAACACCAGACTCTGGATCATTGTGCTAACCTGCGCTCAGGAGGTAACCCTCCCCTGAGAACCCAGTGCTGTCCAGTGAAAATAAGATATGAACCACCCATGGTGGTTACATATGTAACTTGAGTTTTCCAACAGCTACATTGCAAAAAGTAAAAAGAAACAGGTGAAATTGATTTAATACATTTAATTTAATACATCAAATTATTATATTTAATGCTATCAATATAAAAATTCTTGAAATTTTTACATTTTTTTCTGCATTTGAAATCTCGTATGTTCTCTACATTTAATAGCACATCTCTTCAGATTGTCTGCATCTCAAGTGCTCAATAGCAACTTTTGACTAGCAGCTATTGTATTGGGCAGTATAGTTCAGACCAATTTATCCCACATGTATCTGAAGAAAATCTGTTAATGGTTGCTATCTTAATCCATTTTGTGTTTCTATAACAAAATACCGGAGGCTGAGTACATTAGGAAGAAAAGAGGCCTATTTAACACACAGCTCTGGAGATTCAAAAGCATAGTGCTAGCATTGGTACCTTATGAGGGCTTCATGCTATATGACAGCATGATGGGTGGTTATCACAGGGCAGGAGCACCTGTGAGAGTGACAAACAGTGCATGCACAAGAGACCAAATGTAGGGTGGCCTCACTTGGCAATCTGCTTTTGCTGTAAGTACTTCAGTCCCAAGAGACCTAACCCACTCCCAAAGATGGCATTGGTTCCTTCTGAAGGCGATGCCCCCTAATTTACCTTCTAGAAGGCCTCGCATCTTAAAGATTCTACCACATTTCAACCCACACCAGGGACAGGCTTCTAGCACATAAAGGTTTGGGGGACCCACTCAAACCATATCCAAACCATAGCAGTTGCTCTTGAATGACTTTGGTGTATTGTAGTTCAAAACCCACGTTCTACCATGGAGCGGCTCAGAGCTGGAGGTAGTGGTGCCCACTTGTCATCCCAGCTGTGGGGAAGACTGAGGCAGGAGAAGTTCAAGTTCAAAGCCAGCCTGGGCAATTTAGCAAGATCCCTGTTTCAAAATAAAAAATAAAAAGTGTGTGGGGAGCCAGGGACAGTGGTGCATGCCTGTAATCCCAGCCGCTTTGGAGGCTGAGGCCATAAAGGGCTGGAGATGTGGCTCAGTGGTTGAGTCCCCCTGAGTTCAAGCCCAGGTACCAAAGGGAAAAAAACCGTGCTGAGGATGTTGCTCAGTGGTCTTACCTAGCATATGTGAGACCCTAGGCTTAATCCCCAGAACTGCAGGGAAAAAATGAAGAAAGGAAGGAAGGAAGGAAGGAAGGGAGGGAGGGAGGGAGGGAGGGAGGGAGGGAAAAAAAGAAAAACTGGTTCTGGTACCTTTTGCCAGTATGACTGAACTGACCAAAGAGTGCGCTGAGATGTTTCTCTAAGGTTATCAGTTGCTTGAACTTGTGAATTTCAAGGCCAGACATGCCTTGGCCTGTAAACAAAAACCTGGATTATTAGATTTGTGGGTCTAGGAAAGATGACGGCTCCTATGCCTTCGTGTCTGCACCAGTCTCAGCCCTAGGGCTTCACGACATCTACTCCTCTGGCACTTGGTCGTCCACCTGTTATCTACTGCCACCTTCACCCTGCCATTGCCCTGTTTATATGCGACATGACGTTTACTCATTAGTGCTCTTGTTCTGATGTTTATTGTGACAGTTTAGGAATCAAGGCCACTGTAAAACCTGGATCAGAGAAATCATTACTTGATATCAAATATCAGTCTGCCTGGAACAGAAACCATTGGAATGTAAGAAGACACCAGCACAATAGATTCAGAGCAGGGATGGGGCAGGGGGGAAGATGAGGGAGACCATGCAGTTCTGTGTGAGGTTGGGGGTACAAAGAAAGGATTTCATAGCTGACAGTTCTCCAGCCATCAGGTAAGCTGCTGTTCTTCCCAGGTTCTCTGGACAGGTTGCCTTGGATTCCATAAATGTATTGACTTTAGCAGATACTTGTACACAGGTGGCTGAGGTACATCCTTCCTCAGTTCCTAGAGAAATTGATTGGTGCATTCCATACAATGTCGGTTGAGCACATGCTATATACTAGAAATTTTTGATCTGGGGATTCAGCAGTGAAGGACACTCAAGTTTTCTTTAATGGAGATTGTTTGAATGTGTGTGTGAAGAGAGGCAAAGATGCTAAAGAAAGGAAGAATGCCAGGCTGATACGCAAGGAAAACTCATCAATATGTAAATTTAGATTGGGGCTAGTTCCTTGGAGGAAGTAGAGAGAGACTGGGGCTGGCCAACTGTGGCGCAGTTGGGGAGAGAGAAGATTTGCACTGAGATTTTGAAGGATGAGAACACACCATGTGCACCAGAGAAAGAGCTTATTTACACAAGGAGTGGGAAGTCTGGTCTAGCTTCAGCAGATGAGCAGTAGGATAGGTGAGAGATAGATGTGGCTTGGCTAGCAGGTCCAGGGTGGGTAGGGCTTGCATACTTTTTAAGGGATCTAAATCTCATTGCAAATGCCATGAGAAGGCATTATGAAGTGTTATAAGAAGGGCATGATCTAGTTTACATTGTGATAGCAGTCCTCTGGCTGCTGGGCAGAGAGTGGGCTAGAAGTGGGTAGGAGTAAAGACATGAGATCCTTTAAGAAGTCGTAGCAACATTCTGTGATGCAGCTCCAAGTAGGTGGATGACATTAGAGATGGAAGATGGTGGCTAGGTTTGGGAGTTTCAGGGATTTAGGATAGTGTGTATGACATGAGAGAGTAGGAGAAATCAGGCATATTTTCTAGTTTGGGTGAGGGAGAGAGTTGTAAAGAATGGAGTTATGGTTTGGCTGTTGGTTAGTTTGAGTTGCTCTTTAGTCATCCCCATGAAGACATGTCACCTAGCCAGTTGTGATTGTGACTTGCATGTGTGGCTGAGAGCAGGGACAGAACTGTCAACATAGAAATGGTACATCATGAAGTCATGGGACATCTGGAACACCGAGGGAGATTTTGTAGGCAGTGAAGCTTTGAGGAATAGCAAAGTGAATTAAGGGGATGGAGTTGTCAGTGAGTTAGGGGACAGAAGAGCCATGTTCTAGATGCCAAACGAAGAGTCTGGAGTCATCACATCAGTTCTGTTAAGTTCTTAAGGAGTTGAGTATTATTCACACAGTTGATGACAGAAAAACAGCCACAGGGATAGGAAAGATCTTTTAGAACTTGAACATCCTGAGGAGTCAAAAATGCCATTTCGATGGACAGTCTTTCATTTCAAAATATTTATATTCCTTCCAATCCCTTCCCCMCCCCCGCCAAAAAAAAAAAA